CAATTAGAGCCTCCGTCTCGTGTGGTTTCTTCTTCATCAAGTTACTACTCAACACTGCTGATGAATTCCCACCGGCTCCGCTACGGTCGCCAATCGACAACGCCTGGGTTTGTCGGAGTGTGGCTGTAGCTGCCGACGCAGCAGCAGGAAAGCTAACGTGTGCGACTCCAGCAGGATGAAAGTTGCGCAGTACAGCTAGACATTGTAGCGTTCTCGCGTTCCAAACATGAATTTCAGCTCCAGCTTTGGTGCTTGTGGTGCTATCCGAACAGGCATCGCCGGTTGCCACGATCTCCCCACTGGCATTCACATCCAGACATCCAATTGCACGTCTGTGGCCACGATAATATCGCTGCTCGTGACGCTGGGAGGAGTATAACACAACGTAGCTCCCCACGAAATAAACCGCTTCACCCGTAGCTAGCAGGCGACACGCGTTTCGAGCTGATGATCCACTGGTTCCGTAAACCCGCTCTAACTGTAAGTTCGCAGGTGGAGGCATACCGTTCTTCTTGCAGACTGACGCAGTATTCTGTAGTGGTTGAGAGATAGGCTCAATCATCCACGGTGGGGGAACTTCAGCCCATTTTCGACTGATACCCAGATCTAATTCCGCTTGATCTCGACGCTTATCGGAGTTTCCTAAATCCTCCACATCCAGATCTGAGTCATCATCACTACCATCAGGCAGTGAGAGAGCGTCCTCGAACCCCACAGCCTTTTCAGCAATAAGACGGAAGCGCTCGACTTGAAGCATGAATTCACGGTTGCGACGTGCCCACGCGATGAAATCCTCGAAGACGAGTGCTGTCGTGGTCTTATCCACATGAGAAAATGCGTTTTCTGCTAGCCCAAGACAGAGCATCATCGCCTCCATAGAGTTGTTTGCGTCTGATGCAGAGTGCAGAGAGGACAACGCTGAGCTTTCAGGACCACCGCCGGTTAGTAGCGCCATGCCGATTAACACAGACTTCATTAGAAGAGCCTAGAAATGTAAAGATAAGCACTGAATGCCAGCTAAAAGGTGGAAAAGAGCTATCTACGCACCAATTCTGCCAGTGATAAAGACCCATTGTGGTTGAAATCAAAGAGATCGAAAGCAACTGAGACAAAGAATTCAATAAGTTATCACCATCCACTCAACACTATGCTCTACGTACATCTTGCTTTGTCTTCAAACGTGGCACGACAGACACAGGCCAGTGCCGCCAGCAGTTCCAACCCGTCCACGCGTCCGTCGTGGTTGGCGTCCAGCACCTCAAAAACCTCTTCGATCCCGACACTCTCGGGTGACTTCAGTAGTAAAAGGCTCTCAAACTGACTCGCGGTGACGGCAAACCCGAAAGTTTTCTTGAAGCGGCGATGCAACTGCTCCACATCCGCCAAAGTCCCTATAAACACAGTCGCCATGAGTTCGAACCCGAAGCAAGAAACTGAGAGGGAACACGTTCTCACATCGTGCAAAGTCTCTCGTCTCGCGCCGTAGCTCCACGTCAGCGTCCACGATGCGGAATTGGGTCCCGTTAGTAGCCCCCATGGACCGACGCAACAATAATAGGGACTCGAACACTAAAAAGTATCTTTTGACTGCGTCTTTTAAAGATCTATGTGTGGTGTACATAAGTTGAAGTTGCTCATGTGTACAGTTCACCAGCTACTGTGCGACGAAGCCATTGCAGCTCTCGCTAACATTCGCGCTGCGTCCTGAGTCATCGAGGTGGAGCCTAGGAGCTGGGTGCACGCTGAAGCGACCAGCTAGATAGACTGCCGGCTACATTCGAGCAGGGCACGACTCAACCTCTGAGTCGTTTATATGCTGTCCTACTTGAATCATTCAAGTATGGCAGCATGTAAACCGGCGATACACTCAAAATTAGACGACGTCACGGGGCGCTTTCTACGTTAGTTAGAGCGTCAGGTCCTGTAACTGGCCGTCCGGCCATCACTACGTCTCCACAGCACGGTTGCACCTCGCCTTTCTGGCATTTGCAGCATGTGAGACTCCAACTGAGTCCAGTGACCAGCCAGTAGATACGATTGAGTTATGGTTGGGATTCCGCCGTCCACCTTCCATTGTGCGGCACAGACTCGATGCTGTCCAGACATTTGACTTGAGAATGTGCGCGTCGAGTTCCTTTTCCAACCCGTTCCCCTGCTTTTGTGAGCATTAACTTGCGACTAGCTGGAACTCAACCGAACTAGGAAAAAAAAAAAAAAAGAACGACCCGCCGCTGAACGAAACAGTCCGTCCGCGCTGGCCCATTGAGCCAGTGCAACGCTCTCCCTTGTGCTGGCATGTTTCCATTTAGCGTTTTCCTTCCTCATTGGGGACCCACAGGGGGAAAGCAAAACCAAATACGCCACTCTCAAACTTGCGCTGGTCACGCGTGACATTCGTGTCGAGCGTGATCAACCGCAACGAATAGAGCCGTCGGTTCGCAGTAACTGAAGACCGATTTCGACGATGGACCAACTCTTCATCGCCTGGCAGCTCACGGCGTTGATCTCGAGTCTACTGTCGAGTGGAGCTATGGTTTTCTTCTTCATCAGGTATCCAAGCATCCGGGTGCATCCGGGTATGGTACTTATGTGTATCTTCATGAGTGTGAGCATCGCGAGTATCATGCGCGTCGGACTGCACGCGTGGTACATTCTGCTAAACCCGGACGATGTCGGAGGACCCATTCCAGCGACACTGAGCAGGATAGCCAACGAGGAGCTCGGACACGACGCAGGAGCATTGGAAGCTTACGTGCCTTTCTTCTTTTGGTGTTACTTCTTCTTCAGCACGTCGGCGACGCTGTGGTTTTTGATGTTGGCATTGGATCTCATCTTTTCGCTGTCCAACCCGTTCCTACCGTTCAACGCCGACAACGTCAAGCACCATATCTTCGCATGGCCTGCTGCGTTGCTGTATTGTTTGTTCTTCCGTTACGTTCTGGGGGAATTCCAGTCGAAGCTTACTGCACACGTTGTGCTGTACTTCGATCTACCAGCTTATATCGTGCTGCTCTACATTGGAGGTGCACTTATCCAGTCCAGACGTCGCATCCGAATACTCGAGAGCCACGCACACGCGACCACGGAACGAATGGCAAAGCGGATTCGGCCCTACTTGGGGGTATTCGCAATCCACACAATGGTGGCTCTGGTTATCTACTTGGTACAGCTAGGGACGGAGTTTGGCAGAATGATACCCAACGCGTTGGATCAACTATCACTGGTGCTCGAGACTTTAGCACTATTCGCTCTGTTCTGTCGAGACGCAGGAGTCTTCAAGGCACCACGGCAACCACGTGCAGTCGAAATTATTCGAGATGACAGTAACACCAGCAACCCGTCGAGAACGACCATCACACAGATTGAAGCGGGAGGAGCGACTCTAACCTCTACGGCCGGGGCAGCTCCACTACCCGACAACAGTAGCACGGAGAAGATCGACGTATCGAACAAGCTTCGCATGGATGTGATGCGTTACATGTCGAAAGGTATTATGCGGTCTATTGAAATGGCACAGGCCGTCGAAAAGAAGGCGTTACGTGGCAGTGCAAGCGGGTTCACGGGTTCAGACACTGCAATAGATGTCGGTGGGTACTCGAGCATCAGCTACAATGACTACACTCACGTGGAGAGTATGGGCGTCGTCGTTGTCGGCGAGAAAGGTGGAACCATGCTCAGCTTTCGCGACTGCGCACCGAAGATTTTCCATCGCATTCGAGCGCAGTTTAACATCGACCAGGACTTTTACAGGCAATCCTTCGACCCGTCTCGGATTCTAAGCGAACACGGCTCGGAAGGAAAGAGTGGCAACATCTTTTACTTTACAGGTGCGACGATATTCTCCTTCTCCTTGCTCGTTAATCTCATAAACTGACATTTTTTTGTGACCAGCAAACAAACAGTTCATGGTGAAAAGCGTGCCAAAGGAGGAGTTCGATACATTGCGAGCAATCTTGTAAGTTGCTACTTGAAATTTCACCGTATCTTCTTGACTAATACTGTCATCTTGCAGACCACACTACCACGAGTATCTCCAGTCAAATCCGAACTCGATGTTGTGTCGATACTTCGGTTGCCACTCGATCTCGCTCCCAATTGGCAAGCGCCGTATGTACTTCGTTGTGATGCAGAATTTGTTCAATGAAGGTCCTGTAGATCAGCGATTCGACCTCAAGGGGAACCGTGATCGACGGCAGGCTGTAAGTGCCACGACGATGGAAGGGCTCATCGAGGTTGCTAAGGACCGCAAAGCCATCGGCCAGCTCTTGATGGACATTGATTTCCTCAAAATCAGCACCGGTATTTCTCTGTCATATGCGAACACTGCTCAACAGCAAGATCAACTCTGCAGCGACTTTGTGTTCCTTGCGAGTCGCGGTATCATCGACTACAGTATCCTCCTAGGTGTTCGCTACGAGAACCCGGAGAAGCGCAGATCGCACCAAAACGGACTCACGTCTCATGACCAGAAGGAGGTGTACTATATCGGTATCGTGGATATGCTGCAGCGCTACAATTGGCGCTGGACCGTGCAGCGTTGGTTCCTAGGCTGCTTGCTCTGCAAAGACACCCACGATGTTAGTGCTGTACCGCCCGACGAGTACGCCACTCGACTGGCAGATTTTGTGCGTGAGAAGTTGTTCGACATACAGGGGAATACTAGTGGCCCGAGCTTCCGAAATGTGCATAGCAGACATATCGACAGCGACCGCACGGGAGAAAGTGGCTACAGCGGCGAGTCTTCCCGAGATGCGTCGTCGCTCCCCACGTCGATGAGTGTTGGTATCTTGGAGTCCAGCGACCTCCCGTCAATTGAGATGCAGCGATTGTCCGTGTTTTCGACCAGTTCGTTGGACGTCATAGGCATCGAGCCGTCGTCGTCGTCCTCGTCTCCGTCGGTCGCATACTCGTCCGTATGTGAAAGTCCCATGGAGGCACCAGAGATCCGTAAGACCACCATGTTCTTCGTCTGAAAATGGACGAGGTCATCCGTGATTTATGGAGGTTATCTCCACTCCACCTTGTAACTTATCCATCCATCGAGTAATACAACCAACGAGTAAAACAGCAACTTTGATACTCATGTACCTGAATTATGTGTACCACAAATGAGGTACATTGTTTGCAAACTCTCCACAAGTGAAAATGGAGGAGGAAGGTGAGAGTGGTGCTGGCTCGCTAGGCTCCGTCCACAGCGCACTAAACTGACCATTTATCATGTTGCTGTATTGTCCTTTGCCTCAGCATCAAGCGGGTATGCATGGGAGGGCGCTTTGGAGCGCAGCTGGGACGTGATCGAGGAAGATGACTCGGGCAACCTCAAGATCGACCAGGCCGTCAAGAAGCAGCAGCGCCAGCGGTGTGTATTGTACGGGGTTTTCCGTGAAGATGTGGCACTAATATGGTAGTATACGTTATGCTACTGCAGCCGCCTGGAGATCGCGCGCAATGTACGCAAAGGACTGATCCGCTACACGTACGTAGTGATGGATCTGTCACGCGGCATGGCCACCAAAGACTGGAAGCCGCATCGTCTGGCCTGTGCCAGCGAGGTGGTACAGCAGTTCGTCAAGGACTATTTCGACCAAAACCCCATTTCCCAGTTAGGTATCATCGGCATCAAAGGCATGACGGCCGAGAAGCTCAGCGACTTGTCTGGTAACCCCAAGACGCACATCGAGCGCATCGCTGCGGCGTTGGCTGTGGACAAGGAACCGTCACTGCAGAACGCGCTTGATATCGCTCGGAGCTCCCTAAAGACAGTGCCAGCCTATGGCAGTCGGGAGGTCGTCGTGGTCTACGGCAACCTTGTGACTGCCGACCCGGGCGATATCTTCCAGACACTGGCGTCTCTTAAGCGAGAAAATATCCGCGTGTCGTTCATAGGCATCGGAGCCGAGATGCACTTGCTGCGTCGTATTGCGGATGGCACGGACGGCACGTATCACGTCGCGGTGGACGCCGACCACATGAAAAGACTCATGACAGCGTTCACGTTCCCGTCGCCGACTGTGGCGACGGCGGCCTCGCGCTTCGCCACGCTCGTAGAGATGGGATTTCCACAGCGTCGCAGTGGCGCGTTGTCGCTCTGTACTTGTCACCAAGCATTCACTACGGTGGGGTATCTGTGTCCACGCTGCAAGTCCAAGAGCTGCGACCTGCCGACCACTTGCCAAGTCTGCAACCTGCCGCTGGTATCGTCGCCGCATCTCGCACGGTCTTATCATCATTTGTTTCCCGTTGCCAAGTTCACGCAGCATTTACTACGGTCGGGCGTGACTGGAGAGAAGGGAGCGAAGGTGTCCCCCGAGTTGGTTCAGAAGAAATGCTTTGGGTGTCTGTTGCCGCTCGGATTGGACGGCGAAGGCGCCGCGTACGAGTGCACCACGTGCCAGAACGTCTTCTGCAGCGAGTGCGATATGTACGTGCACGACTCGCTGCACAACTGCCCAGGTTGTAGTTGAAATCGATGGTCCAGTACATAATTTGAGGCAGCGAAATACACAAACGCAAGTTGCATCCGGTCTCGACATGTAATTTATGCAGAGACAACATCTCGATAAATGGATTGCTCGCATCGGAGCCACTACGATAGCAGCAGCGTCAGTGAACTGTATCATCACACGCCGAATCGAACGGTGCTCACATCTGAAACATTGCCGTCACGTGGAGATACTTTAAGTCCATCAAGGATATCGCCAGAAACACTGCTGTCACGTGGAGATACCCTAAGTCCATCAAGGTTATCGCCATGTCGTTGCCGACGATGCGGACAAATAAAGAGGTAAGAGGTAGGCAAATTTGACCAAGTGAAGCTGTTGCCAACGCTTTCAAGCCGCTCGGCCAAGAACTGGTTGCCGCTCAAGAACGCATCCAGCACTTTCCAAATCGACGCAACCGCATCCACAAATGAGATGGAGTGCATCCACCGCGATCCTTACGTCTCGTAGTCCTGGCAATGTGCCTCTAGATAAGAGTCCAGCGCAAATTCCGCGCAGTTGAAGACGTAGAACGAACAATCATAGCAACATCATGAAAAGATCCACTAGGGTAGAATGAACGAGCCGGTAAGTACCTCATCCCATGGCAAGTTGCCGAAGACCTCAACTAGATTCCGCGAAGCCAAATCTTTCATCATCTTGATGGCACCCCCTCGGCGTCTATAATGTGGCGTGTGTCAGTCAGCCAATATTTCGGTTTTCACTTGACAAGGCCAAAAGCTTGCATCGATTTGGCCAAAAGGAAATCAAATCAAAGCTTCAAAGATTCTCCGTAAAATACATTCTTGGAGCGGCTGGCGACGAGAGAGCATGTTTGCTTTATGAGATGAAGGAGATGTTGTGCTGATCCACTTGCTGCACTGAAGTGCTCTCTTGCCTGTTGGTGGTCGGTGATGGCTCCGACGTGCTGTCAAGTGGAGGGCCATGCCGGACGCAAGATCGTCCAACTGATTTCAAAGCCAGGCAGCCATCGACTGTGATATGAGCTCTCGGTTACGCCCTATCGAATTGAGCTGGAGCGTGACGATCGCTTCAGTTTCGAACTTGCCAGCGTTGCAACAAGCTCCTGGATCGCGCTCAGTTACGGCGCTTTACCGCACCTTCTCAATGGTGTTCGATCACCTCGCTCTATGCGGTTCCAGCTCGGCGACAGAGCCCGAGCTCTTCAAGAAGCGGGTGCCCAACGTCTTCCGTCTTTTGCTCCCGTGCAAGATGATGTGGCAACGAGCAATTCGTCGGCTGCGAGTCGGGGCCCCAGCTGACGACCGCATGGCGTCGCTGGTCGTTAGTGGCCTCATGCACGGCAGCAACCCGCACTTCCGTCGCCAGGAGCAGACTCTCTACTTCGTCGATATGTTCGGCAAGAAAGTGCTGCGATACTCTCTAGCAACCGAAGACGTCGGAGTCGTATACCAAGACAATGACGATTTCATATCGGCTATCGGATGGCTGCCGGACGGTCGAATGCTCATCCTTCGAATGAAGAACCGACAAGTTTTGGTCTTGGACCAGCAGTCCAGTTGCGTCGAGCTATATGCCGACGTATCTAGCGTCACGCAGTTCCGCGCGAATGAATTGGTAGTTTCAAACACCGGGAGGGTATATCTCAGCAATGCAGGGTTCGACGTCGCAAAGATGAAGAGCTGCTGCTCGACAACACTGGTGAGCATCGACCCGGTGGATCGGACGGTTCGCGTGGAAGCGACAGACCTGCTACTTCCGAATGGAATGGCCATCACTCCGGACGGCAAAACTCTCATTGTGGGCGAAGCAATGGCCGGTCGACTCACTGCGTTTGATATTATCGAGGACGGCAAGTTGGCTAACCGCCGAGTGTGGGCCAACGTGGGCACGTTGTTGGGTGGCATCACGTTGGACGCTGAGGGCTGCATCTGGGCCAGTATACCCCAAATGGGTGTCTACGAGTTGACAGGAGGGGCCCTCATTCGAGTGAGAGAAGGAGGACAGATCGTGGATCTAGTGGGATTCCGACGGAATGGAATCTCGCATGGAGTGTATGCCTGTACGCTCGGATTCGACGCCACGGGAACGGAGCCGAGTCTCTATTTTTTCGAGTCTGTGGCAAGCAAAGAGACCACCGTATTGATGCAGGGTCACCGGACAGCGCAGAAGAACAGTATCTTAAAGCGGACTCGAGTCACTGTCGGCCCTGCACTCATGCAATCAAACCAAAACAATTGCGGCGGGTATTGAATAAGGAGAAGCAGATACGTCAACACAGCAACATCGAAGTACTATATAATTTACACCACATTACCACTGCACAACCTGACGTCTTTTGGAGCTTGAAAAAGCTATTTGACAAAAACTGTTTTTCAGTTAGACAAAGGATCTTAAACAATTGACAGAAAAAGTGTCATTTCTTTTTGATCCAAAAAAATAAATTTGATTCGTAATCGGTAATATATCCGTCATTTATTGACAAACGGGAATTAATAATTGTATTTTTGCTTTTTTTCTTAAAAAGAAAACTTTCAAATAATTTTAGACTGCTCAAAACTCAAGATTAAAAATATCCGTTCCAATTATTGCTAAGTTCGAAAAAAATTACCGTAATGGAATGCATGCAATTACTATTAACACTACTATTATTGGTTTCATAAGTTTATGTTTATTTTGCTAGCATCTTTCATTTAAAAATAAAACACCTAGTAAGGGATATAATTTAAGTTACTATTATCCCTTTCGTAAACAGGAATTTTTGACCTAACTATATTATACTTTTGAAGGTCAAGTTATTAGGGGGCATTTTACCTCCATTCGAAAACTACGGTACTACACTGAAACTTAAAGCATTCTATTAGAATGTTTGTAATTTAAAGGTGAATAATTTTTTCTTACCCTCACGTTATATTCCAGGGATGTTGAATCAGGTGTTGAGACTCTTTTTTATTATTAAAAGTTATTTTCCCAGTATGAAGGAATAGTCTCGATAAATCCATCGCTATCGGAGAGATAATGGCGTTGTGGATCTAAAGTTCGTCCGTCATTGGAAAACTGTAATGCTCATCTCGCTCTTTTGGTAACAGAGAATCCTAGTGACTCTAATTGTACTACACTTGCCTGCTAGCAAGGTTCGTTTCTCGTCGCAATATACCGAGAATTGCTAACGAAATTCGAGACTTAGTGCACGAAGAAAGGTACGCATTCGGATGCATGGCTCGGAAAGAAAAAGTTAAAATTGAACTATAAAGAAAAAAAGTCTGTCCATCGGAAAACCAAACTTAAGGTGCCAATTCATGTAACTTGCCTTCTCTCTTTGCTTTAAATATTATTCCAGATGCTGTAAATTTAAGTAAAATTATAATGGATCATTATAATTTTACTTAAATGTTATTAATGGTTAAAATATCTTACGGATAACATGGATAATTCGTTATTCTGCCAAAACAACTCGTTATTAATAATTAGAAAGGTATTATAATTATTTTACCGCAGAATCGATCTCTAAGCGAATAAAGAAATTATGAGAAGAAAATTGAGCTTTATTGGCATTAAAGTCATTCTTCTACTCAAATCAAGCTTTTGTAGCTGGGGGTAAAAAAAAAAAAAAGAAAAAGAGGAAGAGCGGTGTTCTGGCGCCGGGATTTCGAAAATATTTACAGTTCGACACCCGCGCTGACGGTGCCTGCACCGCTGCTCGTGTCGATAGTAAATTCCGCGCACAACGGATTCGAGAGGTTGCCCCAGTACACATTGCACCACGTGTCTGGCTTCACAGCCACAATGTATCTGCTGTCTTCCACGATGCGCTTCAACCCGCTGCCGATCTGCGGTTTGTACACACCCCAGTCCTCCGTCGACAACGAGAACGACACGTCCATGGACTCTCCTGCTTGTAGCTCGATTTTCTTAAATTTCTTGAGCATTTTCATCTCGGGCACCGAGATTTTGCGGAACGGCTGCATCAAGAGCAACATGACCGTCTCCTTACCAGCTCGCTTGCCGGTATTCGTGACGGTGACGGTGGCAGTGAGCGTGTCATCGGCGCTAGCGATATTAGTTTTGTCGAGCGTGACGGCAGAGTAGTTAAACTTGGTGTAGCTGAGGCCAGCACCAAAGTCCCATTGCATCCAGCAGTTGTCCCAGGTGCAGCGCGTCGTGACGCGGTGGTTGTAGGGGATGGCGATGTTGGCCGGGTCCTTCGGGTAGGTGATCGGCAGCTTACCGCTGGGGTTAACGTCACCGTAGAGAATTTCAGCCATGGCTTGACCGCCAAGTTCGCACGGAAGCATACCGTTAATGATGGCAACGGCGTTCTTTGGAATCGAACCAAGCAAACGCGGACGACCTTCAAAGAGGATCACGATAACCTTTGTTCCCGTCGCAGCGAGAGCTTCCACATACTTCTCTTGGCCCTCCGGTAGAGCGGGGTCGTCGATATCTCCGGGTTTCTCCGCATAATTGGACTCGCCGATGGCTACGATAGTGTATTCGTGCTGGTTTGCGAGCTGCACTGCCTCTGCGAGATCAGCATTTGAAATGGAGCCGTTACCAAGCAGTCCATTAAAGTACGTGAAGGAGTCGTTGCCAACCACGTTCTCCAGTCCCTGGCGGACAGAAATGCCGTGTTGGAATATGTCGTTACCCCCGTGGCCCTGCCACGTAAAAGTCCAGCCACCGCATTGAAAGCCAACGTTATCGGCCGTGTGGCCAGTCAGGAACACAGACGCGCTCTTCGACAGCGGCAACACGTCATCATCGTTTTTCAAGAGCACGATTGATTCACGCGCCATTTCCAGTGCGACCTCTTCGTCCTTTTCGTTGCCGACCATCGACACGTATTGTTCGCCTGGCACCGGGTTATCGTACAATCCAAGTTGGAGCTTCATCTTGATCAAACGCTTTACTGACTCACGCAGTCGAGTTTCCTGGTCTGGGTTCTCCTTGAGCATGTTCAGACCGTATTTGATGAACTCCGCGTCGTTAGGTACCATACTCATGTCGATAGACGTCTGCATCAGCGACATAGCGACAGCTTCTTCTCGTGTGGCCGCCACGCGGTGGAAGTCGTGAAGGTTGTAGATCTCGCCCCAGTCCGAAAGTAGCACACCATTGAATCCGAGATCCGATCGAAGGAGGTCGTTCAAGAGCCTCGCGCTGGCAATGACTGGGTCACCGTTGACGGAGGTATAGCTCTCCATCGTCGTGAGCGCACCTGCCTCGAAAGCAGCCTTGAACGGCGGCATAAAGTAGTTCAACAGGTCGAAGTCCGGGATGTTCACGTTGTCTTTGTCATGTCCGGTGGTAGTTTTGGAGTATCCAATGAAGTGCTTGATGCACGCAGCCGTTTGGTTGTAGCTCTGCAGCCCGCGAACGACAGCAGCGCCCATGACTGAAACCAGGTACGGATCTTCGCCCAACGTCTCAAGTGTGCGTGCCCAAAGCGAGTTTTGCGAGACGTCTAGGATAGGTCCGAATATCCAGCTCATTCCTCCGGCCTCAGTGTCGCGAGCAGTGATACGAGCTGCTTCGTAGACCAGGTCGGGGTTGAAACTAGCTCCACTGTTGATCGGCTGGGGCATCAGCACAGACCCTTCAACATAATTGGCACCGTGGACGGAGTCGAGGCCGTAGATGATGGGGTGGCCACCGTTCTCCTCCATGGAGATCTCTTGGATACGCTGGACGATAGAGCGGAATTCGGAGGCGTTGAAGCCGAACCTCCCGTTGACAGGCTTGTCCCAGTGCGTGTTGAAATATGAGCCGACGTACTGCTTGGCAAACGAACGGACTGCTGTCTCATTCAGCTCATGGGTAGTAGCGTTCATGACGGTGCCGAGATTAAGCTGAGTCATCTGGCCCAGCAATTGCTCCGCCGAGAAGCCGTCGACGATGGCTTGCGCTTGGGCATCATAGGTATCGCTAGCGGTTACTGCGGACGTAAGTGCTGCCGCAGAACAAATGGCGGTCAACCAGGACTGGAGCATAGTCTTGTCTTGTCTCGACTCGAGTGGACTGCTTCCGTGATGATGAAATGCGTTGCAGTTGGTAAATTGAGGAGTGAGTGGCAATAGCTCAGCGCTTCCAAACAAGAGGAGGGCTCCCATCTTCGAGATATACAACGCAACTATCGTCTTGCGTCCGTCCAAATTGTACTTGATCTGCGATGTACATGTACTGTACACCGGACGGAGGGTGCTTACACCGATAATGCATGAATTGCCTCTTCGAAGTTCGTCGACACGACTGAAAGCAAAATTATGTATTTCTAGGCTATTGAAAAGATACAGTACGCAGCATCAATTAGATTGTTAAGTAATATATAGTGATCTGTGTAGGCTGAAATATAGCAATTTGGCCGAACTTGTATATTTATACCATCATAAGATCACCATCGTCACATAAATGAGTCATTTTCTAAACACGTCATCTTTGATAACACATTAGAAAAGATTACATCTCGAAAAAAAACTTTCCATGAGGCATGTATTTACTGTATCAGGTATAAAATTATTAATACAGCTTCGTTAATGTTCTTTTCTCAAATGCATAATTACATGCACTGGTATGTATACTATAAAGAGGGGACCACGATTGGTAGATGGTATTGATTACGGCGCATCAAAGTCATCAAGAACTATCCAACATAACGTGTATGGTGATGATCGAGTTGTAGATTTCGTGCATTTGTGATGGCACTGCAACATACAATGCCTCGTTCGTAAGACCATGATTGCAAGAGCCAATCATGTTTCTCGTAATATCACATGTTATACAGTTGTCGTGGTTCTATACGAATTCTACCAAGCACATGAGTTTTTTTTTTCGGGTCTGGCCAGATTTATCTACTCGGTGTCGAACTGTTTTTTTTTTTGTTTTTTGTTTTTTTTTTACTAGATATTGTCTCTTCAGTTGATATTCCAGGTGATACAGCTAAAACGCGTTTCGTTTCGCAGGAGGTACATTGATATCACTTAGCTTTACAAAAAAAATACGCGACATATAGTTGAGAAGTGTATCATCTTTGAGCTTAAACTAAATTTTTGAACATGGTGTATTCAGTTTAGTTCAGCCGAATGAAGCTAGACAACTATAATACACACAGGCCTTCATTCGTCAAACCACGGCCAGAAAAAAAGCCCCAAAAATTAAAAGGGAATGGAAAAAAAAAAACTGGCCGATGTAAACTTTGGACGTGGTAAATACTTCAAGTACATCTATACACTTTTCGACATGCTATACCTGTACAAGTCTATGTTTGTTACGCTCATCTTCCAATGGATGGGACGCCACTTCAGACATCAAGTTGCAACCTTAAAAAAGGCGATGAAACGCTTGCGTTGCGCGATCTAAGAGAACCATACCAGTTGAGCAGTCCTCGATATCTTTCTCTGTTGCTTTTGAGAGGTCAAACTCTTCAAAGCAGGAGCTTTCCTCCAGTGACGACTGCTTCTGGTGACGAACATACTTGTACATTGATGCAGGGTGCTCACGTGCACGCTCTTCCAGCGCAACGCGTCGAGCGTTCATCTGTGTCGCGGTGTGAACACATCGAGTGCACAAATCGAGAACCTTCCGCTTGACGACGAACGAGTTGTTGTCGGGCTTGATAAAACTGAGTTTTTGTCGAACATGGCATCGATGGCACACGCGTTTAGTACAGATGTGGCATTCGTAAGAACTCCTTTGACCAAATACATTCTTGAGTTCTCGGGCGCACACGCTACAGCACGAGTCATTGCACTCGGCGCTAGCGTAGGTAGTTGAGTTCGTTTCAGCTGTAGTCAAAAGCCAATTGAGTTTGCGCTTACGAGCGCACTTAGCTGCTTTGTTAACTCCGTTAGCAGCCTCGATGGTCGCGAACGACGCCATACTGGTAGGTACATCCCCAGCAAGATCCACCATGGCTTTTGCAAAAACTTCGACGGTTCCCTTGGCCTTCTGACGGAATAGCTGATAAATCGTCACCTTACCACGAGTCAGCTTGCGACCTGGTAGCTCGGGGACGCCACGTACATCGAGCGAGTGCAAGATCTGGTACCCGATCCGCTGTCCTGTAGAGCGACTTTTAGTCACTCCTGTAGCCTCGAGGTACACAAAATCGCGGCAGCGCCACACCGGTTTTGCTTTAGTCAGAGCGCTGTTCACTTCCCACTTGAGTTGTAGGCCATGGAAGGGATCACTGGGCGTCGAAGTCTCCAGAGATGCCAGAGTAGCGAAGTCGTGGATGTTGTTACCTGAGTACGAAGACTTGATGCGAGTCACCTCGTCGCTCTGACTGACAAGGCCGTACATGAGGTCGTCTAACTCGCAGTCGACCGTGCCCATCCAGACCATTTTCGGCGTCTCCTTGGGCTCGCCCACCTCGGTCTCACGGGTGAATGCAGTGGCCGACGATCGGAATGTTCCGGGACCAACGCTCCGCGTTAATAGATCCCCAACACGAGTAGATTCGATGATATCTCCGAGTGACTTCGCCTTTCGTTTTCGACGTCTAATCTCCTCGATCGCAAGCTGGTCTTCGTATACCACGATGCTATTTTTTTTCTTGACGGGTTTCCAGCGAGTGACGCTAGGTAAGCCGCTCTTGCTTGACAGGACGTGCTCGTAGTCCACCATCGTTTCATGGATGCAGCGCTGCGCCAACCTTTGCATCGATCGACCGTCACGCTCCGAAAGCGAGAGAGGGGTCTCGAATGGGCAGGTAGGGTCCATGGTCCAGAACTCTTGTGCTGTCTGGATAAGATTGATGAATGGACATGCACGAGTTGTTAAGCTGATCAAGCTCACCACAAATCCGACGATCAAATAGCTCCAGGTGGTAAATGGATGCGGACCTGCGACCTGCACTAACGTAGCAAGTGGAATGGATCCATATGAAGGCCTAAAAAGCCTGGCCTCAACGTAGTGCGGTATATCACCGTCTGTCCTCACCGAGATTGTCGCTTAAGGGAAGAGGAAAGAAGTTAAGTATCGTGTACAACATAACCAGCTTTCGCGCGACAAACTCTTCTCGTATTTCAGATGCCCGTCCCGTCAGAGTGCAGATGGAGAAGTCTCGGTCGGTCTGTTAGAGACATTTGTGGTGGCTTTCATGCACACGACAAAGTGAAATGCGTATCTATTGGGTGAGCTGAACGGTGAAGCGAGAAGCCCACAAACGCGGTAAAAATTGGGTCAAACAGCAGGAAGAAGTTACGCGCCAGCTTTCGGTGGCGACTGCCGTTGCAACCACAACTTATTTCGCGTCCATGCTTTCGACCCTTATTTGTCAAAGTAATACAGCAAATGGATGCATGCATTTATGGTGTTAACATCACGTACATATTCACACGACACCGATTCATTTTTAAGTGAGTCGCGCGTGCATACTTATCAACAAAATGGCCTGCATCGCTGTAGCATAGCGATGCCACGGCGGAGGTCGAGTAGATTGAGATCTAGCCCGAGGAAGCCGAAGAGACCGACGACATACTTCGAGTGACCGCAGATTCATAAAAGATAGCTGTCGGATTCTCGAGCGCGAGCTCTCCCTGTGCGACAGTAAGCGCACTCATGTGTGCGGATGTGTGGACGCAGCGTGTGCAAATGTCGATGTTCTTCTTGATGACACCTCGTGTGCGTCGGTTGAGGAAGCTGATTCGCTTGGGGATTCGGCAGCGTGCACAAATTCGACCCGAGCAGATCCTGCAAGCCTTGTTCATGAACGGTAGCAGACTCTTGCTGAGGTCCTTAGTACATACGCTGCAGAGATCTAGCGACGGCTTGCCACTCTCGCACGGCTCCATCGTGTGCAGCAACCACATGACCTTGTGACGCTCCGCACAGAAAGCTGAAAGCGTGAGCGTGGACATCGCCTCAGCCGAGAACAGAGATACACTGGTAGACGGCATCTCACCCTGCAAGTCGCACAGCGCGCGAACGTAGACTTCAACAACGCCCTTGCTTTTCTGGCGGAAGATGTGGTAGAGCTCCAGTTTACCACGCACCAGCTTGTAGTTTGGTAGCTCAGGAACACCAGGAAGCTCCAGGGAGTGGCAAATGTGATAACCCATGCGTTCCCCAGTAGTTGGAGACTGGGTGATACCGGTGCTTTCCATATACACGAAATCGCGAGGACGCATGATAGGCTTTGCCATCAACGGGCCCAAGTCATTCACAGTCCACTTCAACTGGAGGCCCTCGAATGGCTTGTCGACGGTGCGTTCTTTGATCGAGGCGAGCAGGAAGTAGTCCAATCCATTGTCCTCGACATAGGACGACTTGACCTTCCACATATCTGCATTCTGGTTCACAACACCGAGCATGAGATCATCGAGGTCGCAGTTGATGGTGCCGTGCCACAGCACTCGCTGGATTGGCGTCTTAGCAGAAACGCCGAGCGTAGCTGTCGGTGCCGGTGGTGGTGGTGGTGAAATTGGGTCTTCAACGGTATCTACGGTCGGCTTGGTAGTGCTGTTGGAGGCCTGCAGCGTCACTGCAAGTGCACAACGGTCCTGGTAGGCTGCAAGGTTCTCCTTCCGCTTGATGAGTTTCCAGCGTTCGGTATCTAGGACACCGTTTCCATGAACGAGCATTCGTTCATATTCGGCCATCGTTTCGGTCAGGATGCCATCAGAAATCGACTGAATGGTGTCTTTCTCGCTGGCAGTAAGCTCCAATGGCTGGAACGGACACGCCGACAACGGGAATTTCATCGTTACTTGCTTGCGCTGGGGTGAGGCTCGGGAGGGGAAAAGCGAAGTGGTTTGATACCCTAGAGGTGCAATCACTGATCATGTAGACTGCTGTTGGTCTCTCTTCCAATCACAACACTGGGGGTGCTTCATGGTCGCAGCCTCCTGATCAGCGATAAGAACACTAGTCAAAGAAACTCAAGCAACAGGTTCAACACATGGCGGCTCAGGTCGACAACCAAAAAGGGGTCGGCGTTCTCTATATGCTCCAAAATAGAACGAAGGTAGGGAGGATAAGTTTTTATTACATTTTCCAAGACACGTGTAATATGTGGTCCACATGTAATATCCAGGTCTTTATCCTGGGTGGAGATTTTCTCGTCTCCACGATTATCCTGTCTACTTCCTATTGAAGGGCACCATGCGTCCGAGACCTAAAATTTCGCTCTTCAGGAGCTCCAACATGTTGATTGCTGCGTTCACGTCGCGGTCCCAGTAGCAAGCCCCGCATCCCTCGTGGTCGCAGCGGAGCACTCCGTAACATTTCTTCTTCTCGAACTGTACTTCTGGTCGATTGCGTATCAGAACCGTGCCCTTACGCTTCTTTCGCTTCATGAACTTGGTGGCGACGAGATATTGAACAAACGAAAGCGTCTGGTGGCACTGCGAGCAGAGCTTGCTCGTCATGAACTCGTCCATGGAGACCACCATCGCGCGCTTCTGAAGCGCCTGCTTCAAGCCTTTCACTGGACTGTATGCATGACTTCTGATACCATTTCGCTTGCTCCAGTCTCCGTACGCAACACATGTCTTCGTTCTTACCGCTGGAACGATGCGTTTTTGGCTATTGCATCCACCGCAACGCGAGCCATTCGCTTCATGAAAAATTTCCACTTAAGAAACGGGTGTTCAGCACAGAATTCTAGTAGGAAGTTTGCGTGGCGCCAGAAGTAGTCGAGGCACTCCAAGTACTTCTTAAGGCTTGCCGTCTTGAACGACGGCATGTCGGCAATGACTCTTTGATATTCTCCATCTCGTTTCTTCAGACACTCATTCCACTTTCGAAATTTGTTGAACCCGGCCAAGTGCCGATATTCACGTGTACTGATGCGATCTACATCTCGGTCGCATTGACGCTGAGGAGCCTTGGGTGTACGTATCCAGTGCGGGTGATCACTCTTCCTTCGATGTGATCCAAGTGTCTCCTTACCACGCCGGGATCTGCGTCTTCGTTGTCGACAGTGTCTTTTCCTATTAGAGCGTAGATCTCCTGTGACGGTCGTACAAATGGTTCGCATCCCTGGATCCAGTCCAACGACGGCGTCCGGCACGTACCCAGTGAGGATGACGGGGTGCTCAGAAGACCTCTTTTCCGCTCTCTCCTCGTCATTTGCCTCTGTCTTGGGCCGAAAGAGCAGGCGAGATGCGCCGTATCCATCCATGGTGACCTGGTTTGCAAAGAGGTGGCTAGCGTGCTTATACTTCTCTTCTACGGGGAGACTCGCAAACTCGGGGTTGGGGAGAGGACACAGAGGACTTTTGTTTCAAACCTCGAGATGTCAAAAGCGTTGCGCATCACCACCCACCGATTTTGCTGAAACGATTCCGTTGAAACCTCCACTCCTGGAATCTGCCAGCAGAACTTCTTCTCCCGCTTCTTGATGCGTAGGTAGAATCCTGCAACGGTCGTTCCGTTAATCTTGGTGTGCGACGCCGTGTATGTCGTGGAGACGGGAAAAAGTGAGAACGCACGCACTTCCTTCTCATTGGGCTCTGCTTTCATCCTCTTCTCAACCACATCTTGGAACTCCCAGATCAATCGAACGTAGAACGCCAATCCGTTTTCACCGATCCGGTTTGGCCCTGGTATCCACTGCTCACTCCACTCGACGCCACACAGAGTAAGAGCATCCCGTATTTGGAGGGCTTCCACCACATCTGTCTCATCAGTGCTGTAGCACGCGCGCATAATTTCTCTCACAATGAGTGCTTTTTCCTTTTTTTTTTCTTTGTTGTCGAGATTGCTACCCAGCCCTCCAAATGCAATCTGCACGTAGAGTCGCAGGCGCTTTGCAAAATGCTGACGAATCATCACTCCAGCGTTCACAACGATTTGCTTACGAAGTTCAGCCTTCAGGTGAAAGTAGCCGACGCGGTTACGCACCTCCTCAAGACCTACGAGTGCTCGTTTCTCTTTATAAACTCGGTACGACTCCCAGAGCTCGGGGTTCTTCCTAGCGATGAGATTAGTTTTGGCAGTAGTTGCGATGCATGAACAGCAGTGGTCGTAGAAGGTCTTGTCAGTGTAGTCCGGAAGCGGAATGGCTTCCTCTAGACATCGAAGCGTGTGGAGGTTAACGAGGTGCCAAGCTTCCATCCGAATCTGCTGCATCTCGCGGACGCTGCGGCGAATTTCATCACGGAGAAGTGGGTCCTTGCAGATGGAATTTAGTTTGCACGTGACTCTGCAGTACTCCTTGACCTTCTTGTACTTGTTCTGCTTGACTGTACCAATGGGCTTAATTCTTAGCGGTCGTGATGAAATATTGTTGCCGTCTATTCTCGTAGTGTCATGCCTTCCGTCCGACATTCATCGCAGTCTTAGCTCCGCCACCTTTGACGAAAAATGGTAAGTTCTTTAGTAGAGGACAGTAAAGTGACCTATCCTTCTGGATGAAACACCATGGTGTACTGTATCGGGTAGAGACCCAGCACGAATCTCTACTCATTAACGTTCTCCAAAATAGCTCAACTGAACTCAATCGAGGAGATTAACATGTCGATGCTAAATCAGATGTCACTGACAACTTGTCATCGCAACCGATCTTCTTGCTTCAACTCGTATCGCCGATCAGGATCGAAATCTGTGATTGTTGCTCATAGCCACTCAATTTGAATTCTCACGCAATTGGTGGTTCAGAGACGTTAGTCGATCACGCAACACGACGTCATGTAAAGTGGTGGAGACTCCAAGAAGCACGAAGTAATCTGTTCGCCACTCATACATGTACCACGCTGGCGCACGCGGGACTTGTAGCGGATCCCTCCAGCTTGAAAGATCATGCACGCTGTCTCTAAATGGTATCAACTGAACGTGCTGTGCGATGCCGCTTTACGATTCTTGGACGGCTACCGACGGCCATCGACTTCTCTCTTATATCAACACCTTATTTAATACAACTATTCACATTGCTGGAGATATACTTCGAAGTACTTACCACGCGTGCGAAGACCCAGACGAAGACGGCGACGACGTGTCCTTGATCGACCCGCCGTCGTGGAAGTCCTCACCCTGACTATTCCTCGCCGCCTCGGCCTGTGCCACCTCCAGACAGCTTGTGGTCAACACTGTCCGCATACAAGGCGTGCACACCACCACGGACGTCTGCATCACCGTGCGTGTGAGCGGTGACATGTGGTGCAGCTTTTTCGGAATGCTGCACCGGGAGCAAGCACAGCCCGAACAAATGCAGCAGGTCTGTCGACGTGACAGTACGCCGCGAGCTTCCTTGTGGCACACGCGACAGAAATTCGAGCTACTGTCCTGGTAAGACGACGTTGCCTTGTGCTGCTTCAGCAGCCACATGAGCTTCTTCATCTCTGCATAGTCACCAAGTTTCCACACGGACACGACGCCCTTGGCTGACACGAACGTGGCGATGCTGGAGGGCATGTCCCCCATCACGTCGATGAAGGCCTTGACGTACGTCTCCACGACACCCACGCTCTTCTGACGGTACAAATGGTATAGCGTCATGTTACCGCGAATGATCTTGTGTTCAAGGAGCTCCGGGGCTCCTGGTACAGCAATAGAGTGGAGAATGTGGTAGCCGATGCGCTCGCCCTTGGAGTTCATCGTCATGCCCGTGGACTCGAGATAGACGAAGTCTCGGCAACGAACCATGGAGCGCATCAAGGACGGCCCGCCGTTCACCGCCCACTTGATATGCAGCCCTCGAAATGGATCGTCCACGGTTGGGCGCAAGATGGAGTCGAGAACGGCGAAGTCGAGCACGTTGCTGCCGACGTAGGAGGCCTTGACTTTGGCCTCCTCGGCGGTGGGGTTGATGACCCCGTACATAATATCGTCGAGTGAGCCCTGCACGGTGCCGAACCAGAGCAGCTTCTGCATCTCATTCGGACTTTCGCGATGTTCGTAGCCCGAGCCGGACGAGGAGCTGGCAAGCGTCAGCCGGCGTGGTCGCATGGCCTCGCGATCCTGGTACACGACGACGTCTTCGAATCGCTTGACCATTTTCCACCGGACTTCATCCACAACACCGTGCTGTATATCCAGGTGAGCCTCGTAGTCGGCCAGCGTCTGCTGCACGAATAGATCGGCTAGCTCTACGGCCTCCTTACGGTCACATTCGCCGAGACGTAGTGGGGCGAACGGCGCGTGTGTGAGCGGGAATTTCATCTTTCGTGCTTCGGCTTGAGCAGTTGAAAGTCAAAAAGGGAATGAACGGTAGCCAGAGAGAACGCTATGTCAATGATCGTCAACGCCAGAAGTGACGGCGATGACAAGTTACGGAGCTGCAGACAAGGTCTCCTGTGACGAGGGAGCCAGCTGGCAGTCGCAGTCATCATTGAGACCTTGAAGTGCTTTACGTGATACTACGTCGGAATGCCATCACGCCGGGCATTTCGCTAGTTCCATTTGACAGTCAGCGATAGTAACGCAGCTCGGAGCTATTGCTCACGCCTTCCATGTCTCCGCGTGCTCTTCGATGCGCCACCTCGATGGCAATGCGCTGGGTGCATTCGCCTTCAGCCACCGCTTCGAATACTACGAGCGCGTCTGAAAATCCATTCTTATCACCAACGCCACCGTAGCGACATCATGCCACTGCACTCCGTCGGTCCGTCAGGTCCTTGCCACTTTCCCGTTATTAACGTGCCGTTAAACTGCAGCAGTGCTGCCAGCACCGAGTCTGGAACTATGAGCCAGCGTCTGGTAGAGCTTCTGACCGGCCAGTAATGGTGTCGTGCGCACGACTTCGCCATGTTTCTGCTGATTGTGGCGGTCCATTTGAAGTCCACCGTAGACTTACGAGTTGAACACCACGCGTTAGCAAGCAATGATCGTGTATCTTGTTTCAACGTAAATGTACATACATGTAAGTACAAACCGAAAACTGCAACAACACATATATCTCATCCTGTCGTGGCTTTAAAACTGTACACTACTTATAGCATAAGCGACGACGAGGGCGACGTCGGCGACGCGACGGCCCAGTACGCGTACGCCTTGAACTGTCCAGCGGTCCTCGAGATCTCGTCCAGCGCAATGTCCATGCCGTTCGAGTACGACGCCGTCTGGATGCAGGTCGTGCACACATTGGCGATCTTCTGCACCACTGCTCGACTGTGTGCCGGCACGAAAAACATCTTCTTCGACACGCAGCAGCGAGCACAGCACTGGTGCATGCATATCTTGCACGTACGACGCCGAACCATACTGCCCTGGATGATCTTTGTGCAGACGTGGCACAGCTTTGCCCAGTCACTCGGTACGATCGCGCGACGCTGACTCAGCCTCCAATTGAGCTTCTTCATCAGCGCGTACTCTCCGAGCTTCCAAACAGACACCACGCCGCTTGTCGTCAGCGTTGTCGCCACTCGGAGCGGCATATCGCCCATCAGATCGATGAACGCTTTAACGTACGTCTCCACTATCCCGTCGCTCTTCTGCCGGAAGAAATGGAACAAACTCATGTTGCCACGAACGAGTTTGTGCTCGTGTAGTTCCGGCGCTCCAGGGATCGAGATCGAGTGCAGCAGTTGGTAGCCGATGCGTTCGCCGGTCGACGTGGCTGTCATCCCGGTAGACTCGAGGTAGACAAAGTCTCTTGAGCGCACAACCGACCGCATCATAGGCGGACCAGCGTTCACCGCCCACTTGATTTGCACATTGCGGAACGGGTCATTGACCGTTGGGTGCACTATCGTGTCCAACACAGCAAAGTCGATGCAGTTGCTCTCGACGTACGCTGATTTGACTTTCGCCTCTTCGGCCGTTCGGGTCATTGCTGCATACATAATGTCGTCCAGATCACCACGGATCGTGCCGGCCCAAAGCAGCTTGAGCATATTCCCATTGCGTTTTGGTGCGCGTGAGGAGCTGACACGCGAGAGGCGACGCTCTTTGAGCGCACGTCGGTCTTCGTACACGACGACATCCTCGAATTGCTTCACTTGGACCCACTCTGTTGAGTCCACGATGCCGTTGTTGTAGTGCAGATGTCTCTCGTAGTCCTCAATCGTCTCGGCGACGAAGGTGTCGGCCAGGTCGAGAAGCGCCTCCTTGTCGGAGTCGATGAGATGAACGGGTGGGAATGGAGCGCGCGCAAGCGGAAACTTGGTCATGGTTGCTAATGTATGCTGCGCTGGAGATTTCAAGTTGGCGAGTGGCTACGGAGATCACGCGAAAGCGCATGCTTGATGAGTACCCTTGACCAACACTGCAAGACTAGAGACCGAGTCTGATTCAAGCGAGTCGGCATCCGCTGAGTATGGACTGTGGCCTCGGTTGCTTGCATGTATCCTCGACAATGCTGCTCAACGTGGGACTCGCAGGGTGTTTGATGGGCAAGACGCTTACTTCTCGAGTCAGTTCGCCAATTTTGCTCGTGTAACTTTGGGGTGTTCGATAATATATCGGCGAGCTTCTCGTGATATGAGTCCTAGTGATGGCTCGGTGGTTCTAGCCCCACAAGACGCCGATATCGAAGCCGATCTGAAGGCGAGGTTTCCACTAGCAAGTAGATTTCTAGTGTGACGTCTAGAGTCATGTGTGCTTCATTCACGTAAAACTTTGCGGCATGATTGTTAAACGGCTGAACGTGGCTGTGCCTGCTTAATGGTAATCGATGGTAATACGAAGATTCGTCTACAGCTTTATGCACCGCAAGTTGAAGTGGTTGCCCATATTCGCTTCAACATGCAAATCTAAGGCGCTGTGCTCGAGCAAATCGCCGCGAACTTCTCGTGAATTTGTTTCGCGTCTCGAATCGAGCAAGAATATCGGGCCCACAGACATGAATTTCAAACTGTATCCCTGGTTTAACGGTTCGTAACAGGGAGCGTTCTATATACTGCCAAGTAGGTGGGCAAGCTTGATGTCTCGAGGCAACATAGAGTGGTCTGATCTGCGGCGCGGGAACCTCCACTTCGTCCAGAACTTCCTCAACATTAGTCCTTGTATTAGCTCGCAGCGGCGTCTGATTTCGCTCCAACCACTAGCTCGTCAGCCTTGGCACACACAACCTAAATGCGCATCACTTGAGTCAACGGTCATACACCGCCTGACCTTCTGCATGGTCTTCAATCCACACCGATGAGCAAGGAGCATTGCATCACTTCCCGTTTGCCTTCAAAGCGAGTTAAGCACACATCCCCAAGTCGTCATGTATCCCCTGCCAGTGCAGCCGTACCCCTCGAGGGCGCTTAACGCCAACGAGACCAATCTCCTTCGACGATTCACTAATACACTCACTGCAGCAGCGCTACACGACTACGATTGCTTCGTGAAGGACTGCCACGGCGACGTGAGCGAAGACACTCGGCATGACTGGAAGTTTGTCAAGAAACAAGGCGGTCTGGCCGTCTACCGCGACCGTGATGCAAATGCCCGACACAATGAAGACACTATCACTATGGCAGAGACAAACGGCAGAATCTCCAGCCAAGAGCATCAACCACCCGGGCAGATCGAGTCCCTCTTGTGCATTGGTACCCTACCGGGCACTTTGGATGACATTATGTGCGGCATTGTCTGCCCCACTGCACAAGACACGATGCTCAAGAGCTCCTGCATCGGAGACAACATCGTCGACTGCTGCGTGTTAGCCTCGATCCTATCTCCAACGCCTGAGGATCCATGGCGGAGCTTGACACTCAAATGGGCCGTGAACGCGGGTCCTAACACCACCCGCCCACTCGTTCGACCTCGGGACTTCACATACGTCGAGGCCACCGGTATCACGACAAATATCGACGGCGAGCGTGTCGGCTACCACATTGTCCACTCGGTGGTCGTCCCGGACACTCAACCGATAGACAAGCAGAGACTCGTGCGCGGCAACGTGTCGCTGTACCATGTCTACCGCCAGAAGAGCCCAAACACTGTCGAGGTACACGTTCGAGCGTTCTGGCAGCTCAATGGCCGCACGCTCCCGTCAATTCAAACCTCCTCGTGTGTCGAAGCCACCATCTCAATCTCCCGGGTTCGGTTGCACTCACGAATGAAGAAACTTGTATGGTTGAGTGAGAGGAGCCAAAGCCTAGACACTGAGACTGATTCGAGTTGCTGTAACCTTTGCAAGCGGTGGGTCGGTGGATGTTTTACCGTCGACAGGTGCTGCTCAGTCTGTCAGAGTGTTGCTTGTCGACGATGTAGTACTTCCGAACTGCTGCATAATTTCTCGAAGCTCCAACGTACAGTCATCAGGACACGACAAACCGTTTGTCGGCGGTGTCTCCGCAAGTCTGAAGAGAGTATTGCCATGCAAGAATCGAAACCTGTAAAGCGCACCAAGCTTCTGTCCTCGAGGGCGTTATCAACTGCATCTACGGCGTCGTTAGACAGTCGGGACTGGAACTGCAGCGAACGCAGTCGAGTGTTCTCGTCCAGGCGTTTTGAAGGAGCAGCGACGTCTGGAGCTGGAACAGCCACAACGCAATGACAATTACTGGTAAACACCAATGTATTCACATACATTTTCAAACTACTAATACATGTAGTGGTCCTCTGGTGAGCTTCGATCCTTACGTCAACTAAGTCACGTTGAAGTAAACCATTTACCTCAACGTCGAAGGTACTCACACAACAATTTTTCTTGATCCCCGCAATTCAAGC